AAATAAATTTGTGTATAAATTCCTCAATCTTGGGGGTTGTGTTATAGCAGCACAAACAGAAAAAGACACAAAACTCATTTCCAAAGGACATCATGGAGCTGAGATGGACGGAAGAGATTGTTAAGGAGTGAGTGTGAAATGGGTGTGGTGATCTTCTCCAGTGAGTATCCTGAGAAGGTGCTGAGATGCATGTCACCATCGTCATCCCAGTGACATGGTGGCTACGCCAGGAGATTCATGTGGATACCATTCAAACGCAAGAAGAGGAGAAGAGACTGTGTTATAGTGGGTAGAGACAGATGGCAAACACGCAGGGCAATGCAGAGCAAGCCCCTGCACTGGGTTCACGTGGGTCTGGAGTATGAATTAAGAAAAATACATGTATAGGAGCTCTCAGGGCCCTCCTGATTTCAGCCTCCACACTAGATCCAAAGATCTGACTTCTGGGGAAAATTACAGTTTATTCATTATACTGTAGAGCCCTCTATCTCTCTGCAAATAGCTCTCTGTTTCCATCACTTATTAATATTGGATTATCACAATTCTGAACTGCAGGAGACATGAACTAAAGAATTCATTTCTTAGTCTCAGCTCTGTTGGCTCTAAAGCAATGTCCCTTTCCACCATTCCACATGGCCAATCCACAGTGGCCCTTGGAGCACATTTCTCATTTTTTCTCACTCTTCCCTTACAGATTGGAAATTACACCAAAATTAAATACTTTTAGACACATGAACGCACATATTTAATAAGGACTGGTAAACTCCCACTCCCTTCCCCTGGACCAGTGATGGCGAGCGGATGGAACATGTGCCACAGCAGGTACACAGAGCCCTCTCTGTCGGTACACGAGCCAAGTCGCCCCAGCAGCTGAGCAGCCAACATCAGTCGTTTCTTCTGAAGCCTCAGTATTCAGGCTTAATTGCAGTGTTGACAGTCTGCAATAAATTAGTGGGTCTGGGGTTGCAGTTTGGGCACCCGTCTCTAAAAGGTTCACCATTGCTGCCCTCAACAGTGGAGAACACCTGTCATAACCATGTAGGAAGAAACATTTTCAGCAAAAAGCAGGAAGCTCATAGGTGAGGCCTGCCATATTATTAACTCAGTGATTATGTCTAACCAGGTGATTACTCCTGACTGAACATTATAAGCAAAGCAAATTGACTAGTACATTTTAAACTCAGACAGTGCATGGACTGAAAAACTCTGAGGAGCTCTAAGGAGACAGCAAGCTGGAGAACCCAGCAGCGACACCTGAGTAGTGTAGAAGTGGGCTAGAGAACAGAAGGAGGGCCTTTCTCAGCAAGTGTCTCCTCCAAGGAGCCCGCTGGAGCATTATGAGAAGGAGAATCAACCTCAGAGCCAGGTCGTCTTCCCCTAAGCTAATAACTCCAATTCCAAGGAGGAATCTGTTCAGCTCTTGGGGAAAGGATGCCTGATTACCAGGTCCATCAAACCCATGGGAAGAGAAATGAAATCCTGGGAGTCTGGAAAAGTCTCTACTCTTGCTTCAGTTCCCAGTGCTCAAGCTGAAAGGCCAGCAGTCAGTGTATGATCTATGACAGCGGAAGACCAATTGTGTTTAAAAACTCTGTCTTGAAAGATTTCCACTGCTAAGCCACATGTAGCAACCAGCTCCATCACCAAACCAAATAAACACAAAAACAAACTTCAGAAAATATTCACTGGGCCTAAGTCAAAATTAACAGAGAAACAAACAAGAACAACAGCAAGAATCTTAGCCATCTAACAGGCATCCTCACCCGGAAAACAAACAAATAAAAAGACATAGCAAGTAGATTATACTGTCTAGTTTTGTGTGCTATGACTTAGACTTCTCCTATCTCATTTAATTCCCTATACAGTCCACGATTTAGATATTATAACTATGCACAGACATTTATGTTCTGGGTAAAATCTCACCACTATTCGTCAGTTTGCACACAGAACCTGCACTCATGCCTGTACTGAACTTCCTGAACACACCAACTGAGTTTCAGGCAAGGTAGGGCAGCACAGTGGTTGTCAACAGAGGTCATGAGTTTAAAATCATATACTGGCTGTGTGATTCCAAGAGACTTAAACATCTCTAAGCTTCAATTACCTCATTTGTGAGATGGTCAGGTCTACTCCTCATATCTAGATTTCCCCCTAAAGCCTCATGGGATCACAAGTGGGGCTTTTGGAAGGTGAATGGATTATGGGGGCTTAGAGCTGACTTGCTGCTAGGTAGGGTCTGGTCAGAAGAGGCAGGTCCCTGGAAAAGTGGCCTCCCCACTCCTTCCTTCAGTCTCAGCTTCCTGGATGCCATGCCACGAGCAGCTTTGCTCCTTCATGCCCCTGAACCATGCCATCCTGCTTTGGAGCCAGCCAACTACGGACTGAAGCCTCTGCAAACTGTGAGCCAAAAAATAAACCTCTCCTCCTTTAACTTGTGAGTGTTGGGTATTGTGTCTCGGTAACAAGAAAAGTAACTAAGACAGGGAGAATCATATCAAGGTCAGCAAGTACTGCTGTAAGATCACACAGTTTACCAAAAAGTGGGGCCACTGGTGTGACTGTATCTCATCATGTGGTTCATAAATCTTTGGAACTTGTTTGCACAAGGGGTTTGGAAAGGTTTGAAGACGCCAGCTAGAGAAGTCTTAGAAAGGATTCTAAACAGAGCTGGAAGGGGGAATCTATTTGGCTCTCAGAAGACCAAAATGCTGATAGGAATGCAGACAATAAAGGCCAGGCTCAGGAGGTTTCATTTGGGAATAAGGACTCCATTGACCACTGAGGCCCTTTGGAACTCACTTTTTAACCACTATTTTTCCTGAACGCCAGATATGGAGGTATAGGATATAATGTTTTCCTGGGCCTGCTGGGTTTTGGTCTTGCTTTGATCTGATTCTTTTCTACGCCCTTATCCCTCCCATTTGGCCTGGGAATGTTTATCTTGTGCCATTGTCCCTTGCAATTATGTATTTCTTTTTTTACAGAGGTTCATAGCTAAGAGTTTGCCTAAGAGTCTCAGGAGAGAGTTGAACTTCTGAAATACGCTGGAACGGTTGGGGGAGAGGATTATTACATTCTCCATTATATGCACGATAGTTGTGTCATGTTAGACAGAATTATGAACTTGTTATTGTTTTTATTTGGAGATCAAGTGTAGCTTAAGCAGATATGTTAGGGTGTGAAGTTTACAAGGGGTGGTTTGTGACTGATATGCCAACTTCATTAAGAAACGCCTAGATTAGCAGAGCGACACTCCTGTGTGTGTCTGTGTGGACCCTAGGGGTATGGTCTTGGGTACTGCACAGTCCCTTTTCCCTTCCTCTCTGGCACTGTTCTACTCTGCTTCCAAGCCACCCTGAACTGAGTGGCCTTCCTCTACCACACCCTTCTGCCATGGTGTTTCTGCCTCGGATCCAGCTGTCTATATATTGAATCTCCCGAAACAATGAGCTAAATTAAACCTTTCCTCCTCTGAATTGTGGGTATTGTGTCTCAGCAACAGGAAACCTGACTAATATAAGGAGGTAGGGCAGAGCAGTGCTTTAAACCATGGGCATGAGTTTAAAACCTCAGCTCTGCTATATACTGGCTGTGTGATTCAAGGCAAGAAACTAAAACATTCCCCAGCTTCAATTTCTTCACTTATAAGACCATGAAAGTCCTATCAAAATCAGCAAGTATTACTGTAAAATCACACAGCTGTTGCAAGGAAGGTGGGGAAAATGTGCACAAGTGCTCAGCCTTCAGTGTGGGTCACACAGAATGAACAGCTGATGGACATTATTAGTATTCCTGGAGGCCCAGGTAATCTGCTTGACACTTGAAGCCCTAGCATCATTCTCCATGACCAGCATAGTAGCAAACTCAAATAAATATCTGCTGAACGGAAAGTGGTGTATCAGGCTAAGGCTGCCACATGACACCCTCGAGCTGTAATAGGCTCCTCAGTGGACACCCTTAGCTCATCTCTGTCCCTTATGTCGATGATGCCTATCTTCCCTACACCCTCAGACTGCTGACTTCATGAGGTCAGGGTCTGTACCTCCTTGCTGCTCCATGAACCCTCAGTGCCTACCCAGATGACAAACATCTGGAGACTGAATCTTTAAGAGACATGAACACCATCTCTTGCAGGTCACCTGGTGCCTCACACAGATGTGTACAACATTACTTCCCAGCAAGGTGAAGACAGGCTCTGGAGCCAACCCGCCTGGGCTCCAACCCCAGCTCCACCACTGACTAGTTGAGGGACCTGGGCTGACATCTGAAAGCCTTCAAGGCCTTGGTTTTCTCACCTGTACAGTGAAAATTTGAAAAATGTGGGGCAGTTGTATTAAGTTGCTAATTCACATAAATCTCATGCAACATCACCTGACACATAAGTATCCTCCGAATGTTAACAATTAGTTTTGTGGCTATTTTTCTCCCATCACACAATCCAAAATAAATTATTCCAACTACCTAAGGCATTTCTTCTTTCATGTAAGAAGACATAAAAGGTAGCATATTTACTCCAAAGTCCTAAAATTAATTTGCAACAGAGAGCAAATCATAATCTCCCAAAGCCATCTGCAAAAAGAAATGCATTTACGAAGGTACTATTTTTAAAGCAAAAATCTTAAGTGGCCCTGAATATTCCATAGTATAAATCTCTTCCCAATCACTTATGTTGGAACCCTACCGGCAGCACTGGGCATTGCTCTTTCCACAGAAAGGAACACTCATAAACACCTGAGCAGAATACACACACACACACACACACACACACACACACACACACACTCTTATGTGTGTGCACACAGTCACCAGGTGAGGAACTGGGTCTCATACACATGGTATCCTCTGCCTTCTGCCCCACTGAGGCTAAAAGTAGGTACCTTCCAGCATGCATGTCCCCCTCTCTCTGAGCATGAATGTGGTGACTGGGCCACATGCAGTGGAACCCTGCTATGTGTTTAACCCACAGCACCTCCCTCCCTGCACCTTGGGAACTGCATCACCTTCAACACCGTGATATTCCAAGCAAAGCTCTCGGCCGCCTTGTTGAGTTTCCTTCCTTTCAAGCCTTCCTTTGCTGCCAGGTTATGAAGCTCTTCGTGGAACCCCATCCCTGTGAAAAGAGAACAAAGAAATCTTGGCACAAATTTCAGAAAAATGGGCATTTTACTGTAAAAGTGGTATCAGTAAAACATAATTTCACATTCGTGACCTCTAATGATGTCCACACCTCTGAATTGAATTGTCCTTCCCATTTTATTCATCCCATCAAAGGGCAGTCCATGGGGGGAAGCAGCAATACTCAGTGAGGCGAAATCACATCCTGACAGCCAAGAGCCATGGACGAGGACAGATACCAGCAGCTCCCTCCACATCTGCCCTGGGTGTCACGTGAAGGGTGAGTGCAGATGGTGACCATACGGGAGGTGCCTGAGCCTTGCTTTTCTTCATGATCCAGCCCTATGGCTTCAAGAGCTGCCCTGAAGTCCTCATGGATAACCATCAGCCATCGGTAAATATTGACTAACAAAAGACTTTCAAAATTAGAATCCCAAGAAACCCCCAAGTGCTTAGCCTTGGGAATGGCTCCGCCACTGCTGGACCCTGAAAGCCATGAGACAGCAGCAGCATGGGTCTCTGCAGACGTCGCCAGCCTCAGGGGACAGAACCTCGGTCTCCTTCTGATAGTGCGCTGCTTCCGAGGACAGCCAGGCTGACATGGAGCAAATCTCCTCCCCAGGAGTTTCTGCTCCCAGAGGCCTGGCCAGCAAGGCCTACTCGCTTTTCCACAGCAGAGCCCCTCGACACTTGAGGAAAGGGTCTTGCACAGAGCACCTCCCCGCTCCCACCCCCGGGTGTCCTCCCTGCTCCAGGATCAGCATTGGACATGACTCAGCCTACTAGCAACCCCAAGGAGGTGCCCAGGCAGGGCTGCTGCACACCCAGGGTCCAGCATCCGGCACTGGGGACATGACCCGGAGTGCAGGCAGGACTGGCTGCCATCCCCATGCTCAAGTGCTTCTACCTCTGTCCATGAGCCAGGAGACAAACAGACAGCACAGAGCAGAGCCCAGGCCTAACCACTACGACTGCACTCCTGAGACGCCTTGCTGGCACACGGTGGTGACAGAGGGTCATCTCATGGGACTGGCCACACATGGGGCTCTCTCAGAGTGGTGCCTGGAATGGTACTACCCATAGGAGTCATTAGCTGTGTCTCCTGTCAGTGGAAACATCTCAGCCTGGTTGGTGAGGGCCACCACTGTAAAGTCTAGCTTCAAAGTCAGCCACAGCCAGTGCCGACAGGGGCCCTCGGGTCACTGATATCATCTCTCAGGAGCTTGGCTGCCTCCTCTGAAGCTGGACAGAGAGAGGACCCACTGCAGAGCTATTAAATGAGGATGGGGTGAGACAGGGCCATGCCTGGTGTCATGTCATGTTTATGAGGCAGGGGTCATCGCTGCCACCTTCCCACAGAGGGGAGCGTAAATAAACTGAGCTGTGTAACTACAGACAGGTGACCCTTCCCATCCTGGATCTAAAATGAAGGCTATGAAATGGGGCAAAAACATGGATGATTAATAGGGTCATGACTCAAATTGTAAAGATGAAGTAGCTTTAAGGGTGTATGTAAAGCCATATCTTCCATGCCAGTAGTGAAGATCTGACAGGCTTCAACCCCTGAAAAGTAGATTCAGGAGCCCTCATCTCCAAGGGCATCTTCAGACACTGCCCTCCCCTCCTGTGTACACAAATTCAACCCACTTTTACCATCCAGATGTCTTCTGTGCTAAACAGACTTCAGCAACCTAAAGTGCAGTTAAACAATGACATAAAATGTTTTAAGAAAAATAACAAGAACTTTTTAAATATCTGCAAAGAGTTACCCTTATGGTTTTTAAAGAAAATAAAAAATTACCTGCTTTCTGACACTGGACGATCTTTTCTTGAACTGCATCTGCCATTTCTATGAGAAACCGGCTCTCTTGAATCATCTACCACAAAATAAACAACAAAACAGTGGTTGTCAGAAATTCTCCTACTGGACCCTTGGGAAGGTGACACTGAGAGAGACCATGGAAGCATGCAGGAATGGGGGAGGAATGGCTCAACTGGGGAGATGAGTGAGGAGGACCACTCTGTGCCAGGCCCCCTCTCCTAACAGAGACCATAGTCACCTCCCTCACCATTACTCCAGCTGGACAACATGTCAGGCACACATGTGCACCAGATGAATAATCACTGAATACATGGGTATGCACACCTAGGTCCCCAGTCACATTCATGAGCACCTCTAGTCTACTGCCTGGCCTAAAAGGCAGCTACAACACCAAGGCGGAATCTCCATAGAGAGTCACCCAGGGAGGAGCTACAGGGCTACTGAATTAGAGAAGTTGGCAGCTTAAATCTGGTGGCCACGACAGGGAGTCTTGTTCCTCTTTTGGCAGAGCTCAACTGGCAGGAAAGAGAAGTGGGTCAGATTCCAGAGTGAGGAACTCAAATGAGCTTCAGACAGTAACACAGAAATGCTTGTGCCTGCATGCTATGTTTGGGTAGAAAGCAAAACGTACAAGAGGGAAAAGAAGACAACGGCTACTAGAAAGAAGAAGAAACTGGGTGTGAAGATGGGATGATGGGGAAGTGTAAGATGGTGACAGAAAAAGAAGTTGTGATTGGAAAAAGGTTTGAGCTCTTGGGAAATTCAAGAAGTGACTGAAGAAAGGCCATCGATTGGTCTCCATTCCTGAGTTTCCAGCCACTCAAAAGCCTTGGCCTGCTTCATCTGGACAACCCATGGCAATGCATCTCTCTGAGATCCGAGGCAGAATCCAAGGGGGACATCAAAGGTCTCAAGTAAGGCATTTCTCATTCTTGTGAAATGATGAAGATGAACATACTGTCATCTTGTATAATCACTTTCAAACACAACAAGGATGATGTCGACAAACATTTAATAGAAAAAGACACAGAGTCACAAATTTTTAGTGCCTTAATAACTCCACAGGAGTAAATCATGCCATTTGTTTATTTAACAAATGTCTATCAAGCAGTCACTGTGGGTTCAGGGAGTAAATGCAAAAGTGCATTGAGGAGTAAGAACAGATACATCTCTACCTCCATGGAGCTCGTGGTCCAATACAGAAAGAAGTCTACTTGAATGAATGAGTGGAATGCATGACATCAATTCAACCAAACAAAGTGCAATTACTCACAGTCTCTCCCTGCAGTGATAGTTACACTGACTATCAAAACCATGCAACTAGGTGCCACTGTTCCCAGCACAGAGGAAGAGGCTTCCAGGCCAACATACCAACCCTGCCAGCACAGAGGTGGTGAGCCACGTGGGTGCCAGCCACATCCCCCTGCCCTCGAAATGAGAACACATAAACAAGTCTCAAAAACAGACTTCCAGATCACCTACAGCAACCCCAAAGGGAAACAAGATAGGACACTCTGATATTCAACAACCTGGACTCCCCGAACTGGCAACAAAAGAGGATCTGGAAAAAAATGAAATCACAAACAATTTCTCAGACAACAGCAGAGATTGTGCCCATAGTGCAAGACATGATTAATAAATCTAGAGAGGAGCTCAGGAACATGATGGAATCCCAACATAGGAAATAAATGG